GGAGGTGACTGAATTTTGTCACTCACCTTCAACCCAACAGCCAGGAAAACTGGGGCGATTGAAATTGTTTTATCGTTGAAACAGAGGACAGAAATTTGCCCCTAACATTCTTCATGCATAATTTCCTTTCACGGTTTTTTAACCAGATGGGAATTAACACAGCCACACATTTCTGTGTGCGCACGAGACAGAACTTGAAACAGCATAAGTGTGACTTTTTGTTTCTGAATTCGAATAAAGCTCAATTCTGTGCTTGTAAAACAACAACTCTTGTGGTCTTAGTATTAGTGCTACAACTTGACAGATGGCTATTATACACACGACGAATACATATCTTCTTTAAATGCGTTGAAATTAATTGCTGCAGCTGAACCATACTGGATTTTCGCTTTAATCTTTTGCTGTGAATCAGGAAGAAGGTGAAAGCATTCAGAATTACAACGACAATAGCAATGCTCATATAGCCAAAATTTCTAGCTATTCGTACAAATGATACTGAGGCAGATGTCGGATTGCATGAATCGATGAGCTGTAATACAATACGATTTGTCTACGAACTATTCATCCACCTACGTTTCATTTCTCAATTTACTTCGGTACTTTAATCAGTTTTTGCTTCATCGTTGTGTTTCTTGCCACAGTTCGCAGTCTCCTTTGTCTGTTTTGCGCCTTTCGTTCTTTTAACTTTAAATAGGCTTTCGTACGGATTTTCCTATCCACTGGCAGCTCCTCTTGTGTCCTTTTAAAATTGCTTGTGTGCTACCAAATAATCTTTTTTGTCCATCTGTCTCTCATCTTTGCCACATGATCAGCTTTACTGCTCATTCCGATATTCCCTACTTGTTCGTTCTGTTATTTATTGTCCTGATAATATCATTCAAGTTTAGTGATGTGTGTTTTTTCGATCATTGTTCCTGTTGTTGGAAATGGTTATCATTACCTCGTTGTCGATTATAACAAATCCGAGAACTGTAAGTGGTGTTGCATAGAAAAGGCCCATCGCAAGTGTCAGGAAAATGAAACGTTTAGCTCCAAATGTTTGGTACCTGAACAAAAACGATATAAAGCATACTCTTTGACACACTGTATGTTATTTTTGCGGCAGCCGTCGCACTGACGAGGTCCAGTTGCAGCGCTGAACAGGAATGCATGCGACTTGATGGACCGAAACATTCCTATTCAGGTTTTTATTCAGATTTAACTTATTCACATTCCTTTTATTCTCTTACCTTTTACATACACACAAACCATCTGAAATTAAAATTACAATACTGCCTAGGTCCAGCTGTAATGCTGAATAAGATTGTGGGTGGCTTAGCATTTTCTTCTGATTATCTCATTAATATTGCAATATTTTCTAGTGTTTTCCAACTTTTAAGTATCTCGTAGTGTTTGCTGTACGGGAAAATCAGTTGGCCTTAATATGCCACATTCAGAATGTGTACTTTTTTACGGGTTTTCTTTGAAAGGAATGTTTCTATGCGTGGGTTTTCAGCGCTCGAGGGAAAAATAATTCAATCCTTCCGGTCAATAGTCCGATTAGAAAAGCAGATTAGACTGCAGGACGATTTGTTTAAGCATTTCTCAGTCAGTGATAATACTTATCGCATCGGCAACCATATTGCAATGAGTCGATCAATGGCTAGGAAAAGTATCACAATGCAAGCCATATTAAATGAGAAAGAACACAGGAAAATCGAATTGAAGCATGTATTCCGCGGCATCAACGTTATGCCAATAAGCGCTTCGATCGTAATTTTCAACACAATCAGCTCACAAATCTACAACGCCATGCATCACCAGAATAAGTAATCACTATCTAATTCATTTAAAGTTTTCTCCGCTGTCGGGCACTATTTGCGCCTATATTTTTGAAAATTTCTTTCGAGGCCAATTTCTGTTCCACGCCGTCAAGTTTTTTTTTTTTTTTTTGGCTCATACAATATTCCATAGCGGCAGCGTCTAAAGATGAAAACAGACAACAGACCAGTTGGTCCGAATTTGTTTGCACCAAGTACAGATATCCGGCTTTCTTGCAGCAAATCCCTCTTGTGCTTATTCGACGTTAATGGTATCGTTGCTACGAATTTTCCAAATCGAAAGTGGAAAGCTCGCAGTAACGACAGTGTTCAGAACCGGAGGATATGAAATTGGGAAAGCTCTTGCTGGTTAGACTCAGTCGATACTTCACTGAGACTGAAATACCTGCCAAATCAAGATAGTCGAAAACCGTTTTGCTGCTGAAGAGGAACAAAAGGAAAGACTTGCGAAATACTACCCAATATGTCTGTTCACTGAAATTTGCTAACTGTGTGCGTAAACACTTACTAAACGACTCTCCTTATGAAACTGTCTTGCAAACAGCAGCCGAGAAAAAAAGGTGGATTTCGAAGTAATTACATCAAGAAGTGGTTGTAAAAAAGCTCTTTAAGCGTCCTGGCTAGAATACTCTCCAACATAATCAGCATTAGCCCTTATTTTTTATCACCGACTATGTTTCGCATTCGTACGCCAATATTTCTAGCAGAGTAGTACTGGAGATATGAAAACCTCCCTGTTCTGCAACGCACTCCCCTGCTATCCAGCAATCCTTTTACGTGCAGTTACAGTTGGGAGATTTTGCGCGTATTTACTTTCAAGTCAAAGAAGGCATAACTATCATCTTGCAGTTCAATAGTCTGACCACAAAGAGATCAGTGCTTTGCGTCACCCTCATTTCCGACACATTAGTTTTCAAGACCATTTCCATACTTTATGCGTTGAGCTTCTACAGTATATCTTGGAATATGCAGAGTTAGTTTTACCACAGTGTGCTTTATAATTATGCAGAAACATGGGAAAATTTTATTACAGGCATGAAGATTTTACCAAATCGAAGAGTGCAATAAGTCCGACCAGTATACCATTACGATGTTGCAACTGTTTAAATTTCCATGTTGTATAGAGCAATTGTGAGTTACCGAATAAACCAAATATTGTAACTGGGAGTGTTACAAATCCAGTCAGTTTTACCATTTTTCGAAAAGTAATGTCCTTGATGAAAATTTGTGAGACGGAATTGCAGTTGCAAAAAATTTATTCATCTCGATACACCTTGCAAAGAATCCAAAAGCTGGAGGCAGATGCAGACAGGTTTGTCCCTAAGGAAAAGCTGATAATCAGTCAAACTAGACTCACTTCATAATCCCGTGTTTTGTGAGGGAAATTGCAAGGATCGTCAAAATTGCCTGGTTCACCGATGTGGTTCTCCATGGTAACCTGCGTTGTACAAATGTGTAATAGACGTGTTTTTCAATGTTGTCAGGAAAACACGACAATGAAAAATCAACTGATCAAAACATCATATTAGCACCCTTCACCGCACTGTTAGTAGTACTCTTCACCCTCGCGTTATTGCCATTGAAATTGTTATATTGAGGGAGAGCGCAGTCTTTCGGCTCCAAAAGTTCATAGGTTTAAGTGATTTTGCGAAATTTGCATGATATGCCAGCCATTTCACGTTTGCTGTCCGACGAAAGTTAGTACTTCTTCTATGTGGAATAGTGAAATTTTTCAATTTCTATTTATCTGGTAACTGAACCTATGTGTTAGATCCTCTTTAATTTGGATAAGGACACTGAAAATTTCGTAAGAATTTGAGAAAAGAACTCTTCAAACACTTAAAATTAAACAATTTCGGAGGCAAAGTTTGTTAGCCTAGCAAAAACAACTGAACAAACAGTAACAAACGCTTTATAATCAAATGTCATATTTGTCATGTAACTGACAGCACTTTGCTAATATTTATAGATTTCCTCACCATTTATTCACCTGGAATTTCAGGCAATAGAAATTTTTTGAAATAGCAATAAGCGACAAATTCCATGCATGAACAAAAAAAATGAATTTGACAACACTAATTTGTGCGGACAATAGATTCCGAGATCCTAGCATGCTATTATAATTCATGTTTTGTCGTATCCGATCACAGACTTGTGAATAAACTATTTAGTCGCTGCAGACTGCATAGCGAAAAGCTTTCATTAATTGAGTGTTTGGAAATGCTTAGCGCATGAAACAATGAAATGAGTTTGAAAACCGAGGCTCGAGCGCACGAGGCGGGCCAGTGCGACCATGGGTTATTATGCGTTTTTTTTTTTATAGCGCTGCTACAGCCAGCAAAAACGCATATTGTCGGGAGGCTGTGTGTGTGTGTGTGTGTGT